CCCCATTTCTCAATCCAAGCAGCAGCTGACACCTGCTTTGTCACCGTAAGCTCCTCATCAGTTAGCCAAACACTGGGCAGGGGAGCATCCCGATTAATGCTTCCAGGTTTAACAAGCGCTGTTCACACTGCTGTTAAGGTATTTTCATGTTATCATGGGCTTGGCCCTGCTCCTTCATCCGAAAGCTAAATTTATTCTAGTGACAAGCTCTAATTTTCTGACATTTCTGAGCTTTGTGTCCAATGCTGGAAGACTCCCTGCGCCCGCAGAACCTATGTCTAAATGTATTAACCCCATGCTGTTACTGAGCGTCAGCCTTTCATCATCTCGTTGAGACCATTCTGCTGAGATGTTGCCATCTCCACTCTGGAAATGATCTCTTTGCATTTTTTCTCCCTTTAATACAAAAAGAATAATCTTTAAGATCCCATCTGGCTCTAAGGACATGTCATCCTGAATACATCTTTCTATCCCAACTGGATATTCGGGTATAAATTGTCCGAGGAAGGGGTGAAAGGACAGAAATGATACTGAATCCAGGGCCCAGAAAGAGGAGAGGCACCGCAGTGTCTGTGAACCATCCGAAACAGGACTCAGCGAAAGGAGGCTAGAGAGATGGGTGTGCGTCATTTGCTTTTCATTACAGATCAGTAACAAGGACTGTGACATCGTTAGGAGTTACTTGAGTTTACAGTTTATAGCTTCCTCAGTATGTGCTCAGGACGACTGTTGGAGTGCCGGTCACTACCCCAGTGACTATTGCTAATGCCCTTGAAAAGGAAAAGAATCTTGTTGGTTGATGGTATGTGATGAGCAAGGACCTGGGACAGCAAAAAAGAGGAGGCAATAGCCACCCTGAGAATTCCAGAGACAGAAGATCCCAGACTACGGCAGGGCCATAGGGAGAGAAGTCAGCCTGGTTTGCTCCTTTTAAGAACCTGCTTCCAAAGTCTACAGGTAAACAGAACAGCCCAGCGACTCTAGGCATTTTGCAAGACAATGCTCCACTGGCCTCCATTCACCTCCTATCCCAGCCCCACCTCAGTGACCCCACCCCCAGCCCCTCTCAGCCTTCCTCGGCCACGCCCTCCAGCCTGATTCATTACACACCTTCTTTTCTAACCTAACTCACCTTCCTCTTCTGATCATGAGAGACATGCCTCCCTACCTGCTGAATCCCTGGACACCATAAAGGAGAACTGAGGAACATCAGGCCCCAGGTACAGCTGTGACCCAGGGCTTCCTAGAAGATGGCCACTGATTTGCCTGTTTCCACGGGAAAAACACATTCAGATGCAAAACTAGCAACATAGTAGGAGGCAGGGCAGTGGAAAGGGGCCACTTCACGAAGGTCCCCAGGGAGGTGGGGTGGCAACTGCACGGAATGTAGGAAGTTCAGTTTGGCAGACAGGCTGGGCCCAAGTAACTCCTCGGGGCTCTGCATGCTCTGCAAAGCAACGCGGACCTCATGATTTCTATCCCATGTTCTCACAGGATGCCTTTCCAGCTTTATTAATTGGCTCTTCAATACACAGGCAGCTCCCTGGGATACAGCTTTGCTTCAGACCATCACACGTGAAGAATAATCAGAACATGTGACTAATTACCATTTACAGTTGAGAAAGACAAGCTAATGGATCTCATGGAGAAAGACGGGTCCTATGTGTCTAAGTGGTTACCAGATGCTTCTAAAGTTGCATTAATATGTCCAAAAAGCATTAGGGAGAGGTGCAGGGTTGATGAATAGCTAATAACAAGAAGCCTAAAGAACAGTGTCTCCCACTGAGCACCGATGAGGGAGGTATAACTGAATGAACCTGCGCCGTCCATGCAAACCATGCAAACTGTCCTCCCGCCTTCTTTTTAACTGTAAGCAATAAAAACACAAACTTTAATTGTAAAAAAGATGCTTTGCTTAAAATGCTACCAACCTGCCTCCTCTCCCTCCTGTAACGGGTCTGTGTTTGGTGTGTTTCTGCCTGCTTCCTCAGACTCAAATCAGCCCCAAGGAAGGATGGCAGGTGTACAGCTCAGCACAGGACCCTGATGGGCGGTGCATCTGCACGGTGGTGGCTCCGGAGCAGAACCTGTGTTCCCGGGATGCCAAGAGCAGGCAGCTTCGTCAGCTGCTAGAGAAGGTGGGTGCCCTGGTTTCCTGCATAGCTGCACTGAAATCTACCGTTCCTTGAGAAGGAAATGGGGGAGGCAGGGAATGGGGACCAAGGTCCTCCTGATTTCTGCCCCTTCTCAAATAAACACTCCCCCTTCCTGGAAAGGAGCACCCTGCGCTTCCTGCTCCATTGCTTACAAGACTTTATTTTTTCCAAACTTGTCTTCTTAAGACTGGCTCTCTATCATATATCTTAATATCCAGTGGGTGTCTCCTTAAAAATAAAAAGTAGAAAGTCGCATTCCACTGCCAGAAATTGAGCATCGCAGCAGGTTCTCTGAGCTCACCATGCTTTTGGATCCCATTACCAACCTCGTGAGGACGTGGAAGTAACCGCATGCGCTATGTGAGCTCTCCGGACGGATAATGAACAATTCCCAGCATTTGTCATCATCTCTAAGTCAGGCCTCAGAACATTAAGCCCTTCGATTTCACTCAATAGCATTCTCTCCGTGTAATTTACTTAAGCCGGATCCCTAACAATCAAATGCTGAATGCCCTTGATTTCTTCCCTTCTGCAGATAAAAGTCAGCCCGTGAAAGGTTATTTACGTTTAGTATGGGGAGGAAAAAAAACAAACAGAAAAACAGCAACTGGCTCTTTCGATCACTTTCAGTCAGACTTCTCCTGTGCTGGGCTCTGAGCACAGTAGGGCAGCTGGCATGGCCAGGCTGACGGAAGGATGACAGCAGGGCAGGGCTTTAAAGCCCGTCAGGGATGATAGTCAGGTAGCAGGAGCTTGTAGAAGAAGTCACACTCAACAGTGCCCACTGTGTCATGTCCTTCCTGTGACCATCCACACAATTAGGGATCAAATGAAAACTTCACAGAAAATTCAGAGAAGCGGGAGAAATGACAGCATGGCCTCTATGAGTACACACATTCCTAGTTCATTCAGTTCCAAGCCTGGCTACACTCTTCCACCGCCTATGTGAAAATCAGTTCCTCTGTGTACACTGTTTGGAAGTCTACTGATACCCTACAGATTAAGAAGGCTTTTTTTTTTTTTTTCATGTTTTAAACAAAGATTAGCCTGTTTTTCCTCCCTGTCTCAGAGCTATCGTCACATATGGGTTCTCTCTCTATAATAAGATCCCATGGTCCCTGCTCCTTCGATATCTGTCCTCCAGACAAGAGCAAATGCCCTTTCATTCAAACTAACAATGCGAGTTAATATGCTTCTCACCTGTCAAGAATCAAGACACATGAACTGTGCTTAGTCTTGGGTATTGTCTTCCACCTTGATTTTCTTTATTTCTATGAAAAAAAAATGTCCAATATACAGTTTGATGCTGCTTGGTTACTAGGGAAATTAATTATATTGATAAAAGATTTACTCTTCCAATCCAGTTTTGCTCTTCTATGAAAATGTCTTACTGATTTTCTGCTCCAATCTTCTTTTCTATGCACTTTTATTCCTCCATAAGTGTGGTGAGAAACGTTTCCTCAGGCACCATACCCTTGCCTGTGTTACTGTTTTCCAGGATAGCACTGCATATTCGCACCCCCACACAGACTCAGACAGTTCTTCAAAAATCAGTTGGAAGAATTCAAATAACGTCTGAAGGTCAGGAAGCAGATGCTATACCCCCTACAGGATCAAAGTAAGACCTATTCCAGAGCTATGATAAACCAGGAATTAACTCATGATGGGTCAGTGAGGGGAGCAGGCACCAGAGCAGGTGGTCTGGAAACGATCACTGAACTGGACTGGACAGGACCCTCTGTCCAACATGCAGCTTGTTTCATGTTTTAAAGAAATGCTGCGAAAAAATCACACCTTTAAAAATGCATCAATACCTAAATGACAACAACAAAAATGTTAACAAAATGAAGGTTACCGCAGGTGAAATTGATCCAATTTTCCATCTGGTAACTTGATGCCGACAGGAACAGGAAGCTGTGTGTGCTGTGTGGGTGGCGTGAAGGGAACGACAGGACTGACCCTTGGCACTGACCCAGGGAACAGAAATCTGACACACGCAGTCCATATTCAGACTGAGTCAGTGCCCACCTTGCTGGCTCCCCTGTGGGCCCACATGGGTCCAAGGGACCAGATGGCACACAGGAACATGCCCTCTGTGTCACCATTTAGCAAGCGTTAGTCATATAATAAGAGAACACTGTGAATAGAACAATATTAATAACAACCGTTCCCACCTATTATTTTTTATTCTGCTCCATTCATCCTCATAGTAGAGGTCGTTGGCTTTCTCAGTTCTCATAAGAGGAAACTGGTGTTTTTGAGGTTAAACCACCTACCAATGTCGCTCACGGTAGACAGTGGAGCTGCACCACGTCCGTTTTGCATTTTCTCAATACCCTGGAAGGAGTACCCAGGATGCCTCTGGTGGTACCCACACTTCATTAAGCAATGCTCTGCCCAGCAGTCTGAATAGTGTTTATATCACTGCATACTGGAAAAACGGCCACTGATTTCACAGTGTCTCAGATCTTAGTGTGCCCAGACTCAAACTGTTCACTTAACAAAGTCTGTTGGCTATGGAGCTTCTCTGTGCAGCCAAACCTGCCCCACACTGTCCGGCTCAATCATTCCTAAGGTGTAGTTTCTGGAAGAGGATGCCAGCCATGTCCTCACTGGTGGAATAACTTTAAGAAACTCTGTACATGATACTTCCCTCTTGAAGATTTCTACCACGTAGTTTAACACTAAAGGCTCTGTAAAGACCTACGGTAAAGAAATCTCTGTTTATCGGTATTAACTGAGGCCAACTAAACATATCAAACTGTTGGACTTTTTTTCCAAGTAGCTTACACACTAATTATGAAGGAAAGTGAAATCTAAGTTTATTTGCATTGAAGTTTGTTCCCTCAGACTTTTTATTTATACAAAGAACCAGGACAGAGAGCTCAAGAATATCATCAATGAAGAGGGACCATGGGCTCACTGAGCTACAGGGAGAGGCTGTGGGCATAGGGACAGGTATGGAAAGCTAACATCGGAGGAAGGACGTCAGAGATAAGCAGGCTAAAGGGGAAACCATGGCAGATGGCTTGTTTTCCTGCGCGTGGAATCCAGTCTCCGGTGTCATCAGGAAACAGACTCTCCATGGGTCCCCATAACCAGCGGGAAACTAGACAGTCCTGGGGACAGCCAGCAGGAAAAACAAAAGGCAGCCTGGAGCCAAGTCCTTTCCAATTAGACAGCTCTATCTCTAGCCATTGCCCAAATGTGGCTCTTGTAATTATATACGATTCTGCAAGACAGAAAGTCAGAACCACGACTCAGCAAAAATTCTCTCCGGGCATTTCCCCACAGCATGGACAAAGCTGCAAATGAGCTCGGGGGATAAGTCACGAGGCAAAATAAGAGGCAGCTGTTTTCACTTCATCCAAACTGTCTCACTTGCCCATCATTTTCTAAGTGTACAGCCTCCACCCCAGTACACGGAATTCCTGGGAGAGCACCCACCATGCCAATGATGGGCGTCTTCACAGACAATTGCTGTATTCACATGTGCGGTTTCTTTAACATAAATGTCTTTTCTTCATTCGTGCTTAACCGTAATGAAGCTGAGAAGTATTCTGAAAGCATTACATTTATCCGAGATGCAGTTATGATGCTTTGGATGTTGCCTGGGTGATTTTAGACTGCACGAAAGACGGTTTTTAAAGGAAGCTTTCTGAATGTAGGCACGACAGTAAATTAATAAATATTTGGGAGTCACGTAACGCTACAGCCTAACCATTAAAAGGAGGAGGAAACTTTCCTTCAAATATTAAAATACTAATTACACATTTACTGCCATCGGAAGCCTAAGATGATTTTACACAATAAGATATTCACTGAGCAATTATTCTGTGTCCAGTTCTACGCAAGGCCTTGGAAATAACAGATATGAATGAGACACAGCGTCTAACCTCATGAAGCTCACAGGAGGGCAGTCACTGCTCTGTTTCCACCCAACACACACATCACACAATTAGTTGTAATATAAGCCGGACTGTCATGAATATGTCCTGACAAGGTAAGGTTCATAAGGGCCAGAACTATAGATCAAGACAGCAGAAGGAGAGACAGGAAAATCTGACCTTCCCCAGCAAGAAAAGTAGGGGAACTGCAGCAGGCCATGCAGGAGAAATCCCTGCCTTTCCTAAAGTGCCAAATCCGAGGCACATTATCAAGAAGGAGCTCTTTATGGCTGGCTGGTCCCCTAAGCATTGTGACATCGCCTGATGACAAAGATTTGTCTGAACAGATCATCCCTTCCTTATTTGAAACTCACAATGTTTGCAATGAAAATAATATTTTACTCATAACGTAAAAATGCATGTTTATAAAAAAAAAAAATCAATGGCATAACATAAAAATGTATCAAACAAAGTAAAAGTCACCTGAAATCCCTTTTTTTTTTTTGGTGTCCATGATTTCATATTTTTGTTTATGAAAAAAAAATTCTTTGCAGATGTATTTATACCTATTACATGTACCAGGACCTCTTTCTATTACAATATTCAGTACTTCTCCCCCACACCTCACCCCCAAATGGAAACCCAGTGTTAACAACCTACATGTAGTCTTCTAAACGTCCCGACCTTCCGCCATGATTTTTTGTTCATATGCTCCATTTTCATTTACCTACATGTGCCTCTGTGTGCATGAGAGAGAGAATTGGATTTAGAATTTAAAAATCAAATCATATCAATTCTTTACAGTGGCTTTTCTTACTTGCTTTTCTCACGGAAATCCCTCTGTGTTAAGCACTGATTCTCAAAATTTCATAGACAAAGGGATCACTTGGGGTTCTTGAAAAAAACACAGATTCTGATTTTCAGACAAGAATCTGTGTTTTGGACAAGCTCCAGGATGCCCAAGTTGCTGCTCCGTAGACAATACTTTGAGTACCAGAGCCACGGAGCTCTCTCTTGTCCTCTAAAACCGTGTATGCATATTGCATTCAATTCCCTTCACAGTTTTCCTATCAGAGGCCTGCATTCTGTTTTTGGAATTTTGCTGCCACAATTGGAGCAAGTTTTCCTCATTTCTACATGCTTTCTAGGTCATCTGTTTCCTCCTTCTAAAGAGCCTGGGGTTCAACGAACCTGGGATGGTGCCATTAGCTTAATGTGGGTTGATTGCCAACCTACCAAACTCCTGATACAGCTGCCACCTTCCAGGTCTCTGCAACAGTAGGCTCTGCAGTTAGGAGGGGTTTCAGCAGGTGTCCCAGGACTACCCCATGTGTCTGGGTCCAGCCGGCCTCACCTCTGGGAGTATGTCCAGTGCAGCTGGAAGTAACTGCACCACGGTGAATGTTTTCTGGTCTGTTAGGCACCTCAGACCATCCACAACCTCTAAGCATACCTAGATCTTGACAAAGTCAGAGTGGGTATTTATAGAAACAACTTATTTTAACAAAATGGGGCACTGATAATCTTACAAAGCCCTGGAATAAAAATTCTATTTTCTAAAACATATTTTTCTGACATGTTAAATTCTCATTTATATTCAGTCATTTCTAACACTGGGATGTCCGTTCCATTATTTCCTGCCTAGGTAAAATTTTCTCTTGCTGAATTCTTTGACTGTTCAATATGGAGAACTGTCCTTCTAAAAATATGTCATGTGGAAACACAATTACAGACTTGGTACTTCTAGTTCTCTATGTTGATGTCATTTGTGCTACTTCAGGAGTGATTGTACAGACCTGTAAACAGACGGTAATTTACAGCCAATGTTCTTGTTTTAACAGGTTCAGAATATGTCCCAGTCTATTGAGGTCTTAAACTTGAGGACGCAGAGAGATTTCCAATATGTTCTAAAAATGGAAACCCAAATGAAAGGGCTGAAGGCCAAGTTTCGGCAGATTGAAGATGATCGGAAGACACTAATGACCAAGCATTTTCAGGTAGGTTTGGCTCCTGCAATCTTGTTCACCCAGATGAGACACTGAGTAGGATGAGCAGCCAGCGTGGTGCTTGGCTAGAAATAACTGTGCGTTGGCCCCTATGTGCAGTGTTTAAGGCTCACAGGGATGTCCCCCTGAAACTGACCATTAGCTCGTGGGAATGCACAGGAGACTCGCTATAGAAAGAGTCTTGTCCTCCTAGAGCTAAGTGGAATTTCTGCATTGATTTATAGGCTCTTCAATATCAATGATGAGGGGAAATCTCAAGGAAAATTAATAATTCAATGGATCGAAGTTTTTCTGATGACTTTATCCCATGCTAGTATGAAAAATATTTAGAATATAAACTATTAAAAGAGGAACTCATCCCACTATTAACAGCCATAGAAAGGGGGTTGCTTCACCATGACACAAATGAAGTCTTCTTTAGACTTGAAGTTGTTTATGGGACATTATTTAGAAACACTGAAAATGGAGAAATGGTGCTATGTGGACTTTTATTAACTATGTATGACAGTGTCATAGATTAAAATAAAACGTGACTGGGATAATGCCATCCAAACCTCTATTCAAAAGAAATAGTCCGCCTTGCAAAGCCACATCACGTCATTTATAAAACATGCTGTGGTTTTTTAAACATCACAGCCTCAATTTCCCCTGCCAGTTAGGAAGTGAGTGAGAGCCACTGAAGACGGGGATAAGAGGGTCTGAAGGCAGGTGCTCGGTCAAGCCTCAGAAGTGCTTTCCACACATAACTGAGGGCAGGATGCTGATCAGGGTCACACAAGGCTCCCTGCACTGCACAGTTTACCACAGCAGAGATCCTTGTGGCTGTGGAATTCTCTTTGGTGGTGCTCAGGAGCCCAGGCAGAGGGGTACAGAAAACAGTCCTGCACTGAGCCGCTTCTAAAATTTTACCCAAAAGGACAACATGGCAAGAAAGCTGAGGGTACTGACAGGAGAACGAATCATGAGGTTTAAGCTGAAGGAAGATGTCAGCCAGGCCAGGAAGTTGAGGAATTAGAACAAATTAGAGCAAAGTCAAGAAGACACCAAAATTGGAAGATGACTGGAAATAAGAGAATGATGGCCTGGAAGAGTAGAGGGTGTATAGGGAATGCATGGGGAGCCAATCAATTCACTTTAACCAGTGTTGATTGAGCAGGTGTGTGAGAGGCAGTGTTGCGCCCTCTGCTGGGGATGCAATAAATAATCTCTGTTCTGTGAAAGAGAGTTAACAAGGGGCAGGTAAAACTGAGAGTAAATAGAGGCATAAACATTACTTAACAGCACAAAGAGAAGAGGAATTTTGTTTAATTTTCTTTAGAGAAAATCGGGGGAAGAGTTAGAAGGGAATATTCAAGAAAACCATTTTGTGCCCGGCCAGCATGGCTCAGTGGTTGAGCGTTGGCCTATGATCCAGGAGATCTAGGTTCGATTCCTGGTCAGGGCACATGCCCAGGTTGCGGGCTC